CATACACACACACACACACATATATATATATATATATATGTATATTGCATGTTATTGTAGAACTTTTCCGTGCATTGATGAATGCGAGTAGGTTACCATACGAAACACATAACTTTTTCCTATCAATTCATATACGAAACAATACAAACAATCAGCCCTCACATACGGACTATTCTCGGGCATCCTTGCAGGATATGGGGTTGCGGCAAATCAAGCATTCGTCACAGCCACACAGTGCCAAGACCATTCGCAGGCCATCAATTGAATCACGTACACGCACAGCCAATGAGTGCGACTTCAAATCAGGAGGGTCCTCTGGTTCACTCAGGTAGGAAGGCTAATGGGATATAAATACACATTCTTATTTTAGAACAGTCCCTCCGGGCGTTCAAGAAGTTGATATATACAATAGGCGTTGTATTATGAGAATCGTATCTTTGGAGTAAGCATGAATTGTAGCATGACGAAAGCCCTACAATGTTGCTCAGGCATGAAGTCTTATCAGGATATAAATAGACATAGTAAATATTCAGGCCACAACGTTTTAACTTCGTTACAATAAATTAGTCGAGCGCTGAGCAGCTACTTCTACTATATTGCATTGCATATGATGCTTTATTCCGATTATGCATCTTTATATACACACTGAACATATGTGCACCCCCCGCAAGCAGACAGATTCACATACATCTGAGATTCACGTTCTAATACACTCACTCACCTGCAGCCAAGTGTACAACCACAGGCGCACCAAGAGCGCCCATGCGCCAGGGTCTATGCAACAGTCTGTGCTGAATTGTGAGCAGATGCTGCAGAGTCTGCAGGCCGATGTCAAGGAATTGCGTAAACGCGCCGAGCATACATATTCCTTCTCAACACTAGTACTGATGTCTATTGTCATGGCTGTGCTAATGCAGACGGTGCTCGTATTCGTCATCAATTAAACACGGATGAAAAATACAATATACGACACGGTGACTATGTTGTTTATGGCAGCCTTTGTCTGATGGAGAGCATAGAGTACAAGGTTTACGACACAATTATGTCTGATGTAGCATGTGGTCGGAGCAAACAGCTTACTAGGGATGCCTGAGATATAACAGAATGGCTTCGTTGTGCCCCATGCTCCTCCCAGTACATATACATTCCCATTAATATACATAAAGATGGGTATGTATGTATGTATGTACATACACACACACACACACACACACACTTATAT